GGAGCCTCCCTGCACACCTTTCGCCTCAGTGTTTGGCACCGCTGCTTTGAAAAGGCAGGTGGTGATTTTATAGCGATCCATTAAAGATCGTGTGGAGAGGAGGCTGGCAGGTGGTGTTTCATGCTTGAAAGGCGAGTTGTAAAATGTTGCAGTTGTCAGCCAATGAGGTGTGCAGTCCCAGTGCCAACCGCGGTTGCAATCGCAGTCGAGACGAGGACAAGTGAGACCCAACCTGCCCTCAAGCTGGTGCAGGTGACGCTTGTCTGCACACGCCAAGCAAGCATGTCCACCCTGCCGTCACGAGGGATGAAAGTGGCGTTTATCGCCTCACTTGAGGCTTCCTTACGCAGGTGGATCACCTGGCCTCCAGTTCGTCACTGTCATCATCCTACTCGTGTTCTTCTTCTTCTTCTTCTTCTTCTTCTTCTTCTTCTTTGGCTCAAATGTCCGACCGCTTTCAGACAAAACCGATTGTGATGTGATGTGGGCAGTGCGTCCTCTGCTGACGCAAATCTGTGGAGGTGCTGCACATGGAGAGGTGGGATAAAGGTGGTTGTAGTGAAGGTGAAACCACTATCAAGTGATGTGGAGTCTGCTCGCACCGAAACCGCAAATTCACTACTGTTGAGCATTAATGAGGCGTTGGTTGGAGAGGTTAGACTTGAGGTAGTTGCATGCTGAAATGACGATAGTGATAGTGAAGGGGGAGAGGTGGTGGATGGGTGTGTGGGTGAGGCAATTGCAGGTCAATGGCAAAAGATGGCGACGATGCATCATTGTGGAGAGGAATTGAGGATCATGGAGAGGTCACCCATAGGGCGTGAGTGCTGGAGGCATGTGGAGCCTGTAACGTGTGGGGACGCGATGAATCATCGTGGCCAGGTAGTGGGGGGACTGCGTTGCTTCTAGCTAACTAGGTGGTAGGTAGCAAATCGACATTTTGGAAGACACGAAAGGCAAGAGCGTGTCTAGCACATCCGCCTTAGACCGGACTTGATTCAGCTGGAACTGGACACCCCGCCCCGTCCTCCCATCTCACAATGACCGCATGTTGGCATAGTTTTTGGCATTGAAATTGACATTGTGTTGAGGCTGTGGCTGGTTGACATGGCAGTGTGATGGGGTTGGCGGGGCACAGGGCTACGCTACGAGTGGTCTGCAGGGCCCATCAAATGGGCGGCAATTAATCGACTTTGCTGTTGGACATGTAAACACACGGATACGGAGACGCGGAGTCGTGGAGAGGTGGGGGGCGAGAGACGCGGAGATGTGGAAATGCAGACTGACTGTTTATGTGGTGCTGCGTGCTGGCGTAAATCACACGAGTTGCTAAATTAATGGCACCGTCAGTTGAATTAGGAGGCGACATTTGGCAACAAATTGTCAATGGTGTTGCATAAAGCACTGAGAGGGATTGATTTCGTGTGAGAACAAGACCGGCACAGCACAGCA